GCCCGGGCCCGGCGCGCCCGCCGCGCCGCCCGCGCCGGGGGTCAAGGCCGAGTCGCCCAAGACGGTGGTGCAGGCGGCGCCCCCGCCGGCGCAGACCCTGGCGGCCAGCGGCCCGGCCAGCAGCGCGGCCGGCATGATCCTCGGGCCAACTATGCAAGGGGCGCTGCCCGGCCCCGCCGTCCCGCCACCCGCCCCTGGGACCCCCACGGGGCTGCCCAAAGGCGCGGCCGGCGCCGCGACCCAGAGCCTGCCCCGCACGCCGGCGGCCACCACCGGCGGGATCCGCGCCACCCTGACGCCCACCGTGCTGGCCCCGCGCCTGCCACAGCCACCGCAGAACCCGACCAACATCCAGAACTTCCAGCTGCCCCCAGGTGAGTGGACGCGCAGGGCGGAGGGAAGGGCGGGTCTGAGCCGCGCCAGCTGCCAGTTCCAGGAAGTTCTCAGCTGCTGAAACGCTAAGGTCATCTGTCCCGCAGGCGGGGTGGGGGGCGCAGCCTCTGCCCCGTGTGTGAGTGAGCGAGTGGCTGTGAGTGGCAGCGTGCGTCTGTCCTCCCTGTCCCTGACATCCTGGCTGGCTGTCGTGTGTCTTGGTCCTGGTCTGCATTTCAAAGTTGCTCCACCAGGGACTTATTCTTGAGTGGGTCCTCTCCAGCTCCCGCCCAGTGTGGGCTCCCCACCCCCAAAAAGCGTCCTGGGAGCAGGTGTGGGCTGTACAGAGTTCAGGGATGTGCCTGGATCTGCTGCTTTTCCGGTGCTGGAGCCGGACTCCAGCAGCGTGGGCTTCCCTGCCTAGTTTCTGTAGTTAGACGTGTGGTCCGTGTCCTCACTGGGCTCCCTGCTCCCCTGTGACCCTGGGCTAGAGGTCTCCCCTTGTACGGGTGAGGTCATGGCAGGGCGATGCCCCTCCTCGAGACGTCCCTGCTGCCACTGGGCAGGCGGAGATGTCAGGCTCCACCTGGGAGAGCCCCGGCAGGCAGCCTAGCTGAACAGCCTGCTCTGGAGCAGTGTGTCAGCACCTTGTGTCTCGCTGTCCTTTCAGCGCAGTGTCAGTGCCTAAAGGAACGCCCAGCGATTTTTGTCGTTTCTTTCTGGGGGGCTTGTCAGTCCCTGTCTGCTCCATGCAGGGTTCTTGGGGTGGTCCACGTGATGCCTGGTGATGCCGGAGCCCAGCACATTCACAGCTGATGCTCTGGACTCAGAAACCACTTCAGCCCTGGCAGTTTCCACACTCCTGTCTAGTCTGTCGTCTCTGCGGTTCCTTAGGGCCCCTCAGGCTTGACGAGAAAGATTCCATGCTGGGCACTTGCCTACCGGCCTGCTTTTGTTTCGGGATCCGCTGGCGGAGGAGCGTCCTACCTTCTCCCGGTCCCTCCGCCCAGCCTCCCTGGATGGCGGTGGAGAGCTCCTCCCTGGTCCGTAGTAACTGTGCCGTGCAGTTGTAGCAGCGCCGCGGTGGCAGCAGTAGTAGGAACAGCAAGGCAAACATCGGTCCTTCCTCATCCCTTCCTGCTTTCTGAAAAGAGCTGCTGGTCACTTTGGAAGTATTGCAGCGTCTTCAGAAGCGAAAGGTTTTCCTGTCAAGGCGTGTGACGTTCAGGACTGGCCGTCAGGCCGCTATGGGGTCTGCTCTAGGGCCAGAGCCAGGGACTTGACCGCCAGAAGTGTGTCTGGGGTGGCCGCGGGGGCCTCCCGCTCTGGGGAGGAAGAGGGGATGTGAAGCTACCCAAGAGGTGCTGAGATGCTCCTTATGACAAACTTTGGGGGCACCGAGGAGTTTGTAGGGGTGTTTTATTGAAGGCTCTGTTTGACTCATTTTGTGTATTTTTGACCTTCTAGTGGAAAATATGGTTGATCTTCAGTAACGTTTTAAAAAGGCGATTCGTGGTTGTAGTCCATTATGTAAAATATCATGATACTTTTTATTTGCTTGTAAAAATATCCGTCCAGTGGTCCTGTGTGTTTTGTCACGAGCTCTCCTCAGCCAGGATGTGCCCGTGCTGCCCGGTCATGGTCTGAAGCTGGGGGCCGGGGGCCAGCGCCCAGTGCACCCATCAGGTGGTGACAGGACTGGCCGTGGGGAGTCGGCTGCGTTCCCTTGCTCGGAGCCTCCTCATGGGTAAAGCCCCATCCCTTTTTTCAGTCTGGGGAGCAGGAGGAAGATGTGGTTCGAAAAGGGCATCTCTGCCATGTTTGTCGTGAGGGAGCCCAGGACCCGCTTCTGTCCTGTTTTCGGGTTAGTTTTAGGGTCGGCTATGTCTGACGAGCAGATAACGTGAAAAGCATCTGTAGAAAGGCATCTGTAACGTGAAAGGCGTTGGTTCTTTGCGTCAGTTCTCACGAGTCTGCATCAGTCCCCATGTATGTGAGAGCAGAGAGCAGCTCATGGGGACATTGGGTGACAGTGCTGAGAGCGGTGCTGTCAAGGGGCCGAATGCTGTCTAGAAAATAAAAGATTTACATCTGTCTCCTCATGTCTCTGTTCACTTGATCTGCTGATTAGGAACTCTGACTAATTATTTATTTTGATAACAGCCAAATCAAAACCGTATACTTAAAGCGACTACCAATGCCCCAAGCCACAGTCCTTTAAACAGTATAACTTAACTTTGTAAATCAGAGTGGCGAATTATAGATATTCTGGTTGCATCTTACAGTTGATCAAGGACAGAATAATAAATTTTTCTAGTTGATGTTTCCTTTTTATGGAAATCTTTCACAATAAAGCGTTTAGAACAAAGGTAGAAGTAACTCTTGCTTGGCTAATAACTCATTCATGTTACGAGTCAGTGCAGCTGGGAGGTGCAGGGTGGGCCTGCACTCAGGCTACACATAGGTGTCAAGTGGAGTGGCAGATGGGTGGCAATTGGACTGAGTGTGAAAGGGCCTCCCTCAGTGCCTTCCCTTTGCGGGGGTGGGGGAGGACGAGGGAGGCTTCACCCTGAAGTTCTCCCGGCCGGTCCCAGGCCTTGAGTGTGTTTCATCCCCGTAGCTCACTGCACGTTGCCTTTGGTTTTAGCAGACTCTGTCTTGATGCTCTTTGTCAGGATGGTTTTGTAAAGGGACATTTATGTTAACATGATTGTAATCTGCTGGCTCGAGGTGCCACAGTCTGAATTTCATTCACGGTGGGAAAAATGAGAAAACACAAGTCTTTTAGCAAGATTGTTGTCGCCAATGCAGTTGTCTCCAGAGCACTGAAAGGCACTAGCTACTTACGTACAGCTGGCGAAAGCTGTAACGTCAAAGCAATATTCTGATTATAGTTGAAAGAAGAAAAAAGTGATGTGACACCAAAATTAACATACATGTAAATTATTTTGAAAGATCTTTTTGGATAGGTGTTATGTTGAAGATGCTCCTTTCTAAAAGTTACCGTTTGGCTTGCCAAGTTGGCGTTTTCTTTAGTACACCTCTATTCATTGTGCTTTTGTGCAGAATTTACTCTCCTGTCGCTCTGATATGGCTAAAGTGTAGATTCCCATCCGGGACAGAAGCCTCGCTTCGCCACGGGCCTAAATACCTTGGCCTAGGGACTGTTTGCACGCTGCTTATTTTAAAAGGAACACTGCCAGGGTTGATATGTGTGTGAGGACAGGCACCTAGCGCGCTGGTTCCCATCCACGGTGAACCGTATTGTTTGTGGGGAAGGGGGAAGGCCCACTAGTAGCTGGTTGCGCTGTTGGGGCTGGGTGGTCCCCAGGCTGCGGGGTGCGGTGTAGAAGGCCTGCCGCTCGACGTTGTGGGAACTGGAAATTCTGGTGGCTGACTTTGGCAGCAAGTACTTTGGCATAAGAGACATTCTTAGAAGTTCAGATTTTGTTACTCGAGGGCACTATTGCTGTTTGACCTGGGGTGGAGCCTCAGTTTCCCCAGCTGTCAGGTGGGCTTGACCATTTTGTGAAGAATGTGGAATCCCGTCAGGTTGAGTGGCAACGCAGCTGCCAGGTAGCGTTTATTCTTCATACACTTTCCCAGTCCATTACATTTCCTGCTGGTTTTTAACGTAATGTTGCTGTAGAGTAGCAACATCTTTTAGGACAGCTTTGTTCAAATCAAAGCCGCATCCAGATTGGATGTTTTCTCAGCGATGGAGGCATTTGGTGCGGTAGCCGCCTGGTTCTGTGCCTCTGGTTCTGGAAGTTGCCGAGGTCGTCACAGGTGGGTCGCTCTCCTGCCTGCCCATGTGGGCGGTGTGGGCCTGGGCAGGGGGGCTCGATTTAGGCCAAAGGCCCTAACCCAGTTTTCCTCTTGATATACTCTGGTAATAGTGACATTTGAAAAGAACAAAGGAAAGTAACTTTTGGGGAGGTGTTCAAGGACGGCGCCTGTCAGCTCTGCTGTCGGACAGAGGCAGCGGCTGTGCCTTTCCCTCTGCACTGCCGGGGTCAGGGGGCTGGTAGCTGCTACTCCCTGCCCCTCTGCCTGGCGTCCCTTCTGGCTGGTCACCATTGCCTTTGGGATGAACAGGGTCATCTTGATGACTCCGTTTGGGAGGGATCTCAAGTGTCTTCGGGTGTCTCTTGGGGCTGGTGGTCCTCACCGTTTAGTGATAGACAGGAAATGGTCCTGCCACACTCCAGAAGCTTCTGTTCTCACTATTCTTGTGCCCTAACGAATAGGAATCTACCCCCCGAGGTTAACGTAGAGGACCTGGAAAGTCATCTTCTTCTGTTCAAGCTCACATACTCCTGGGTGAACACAGTCCACGGGCACAAGGAGCCGCCGAGGAAGTGGTGTCCTTGCCCACCTAGGTGGTTGGCGAATCTGAGGGGGGAAGCCGGCCCTGCTCCTCTGAGGGCAGAGGGCAAAGCCACCCTGGCTCCCAGAATTGTCGCTGGGCTCCCAGCCGCGTTGTGAGGAGTTGCCCTTAAACATCTGCACGGGGTGTCCAAGAGGAGGTGTCTGAGCAGAGCATCACGGACCCAGCTCAGCGGGACAGCAGCGGGGCGTGCTCTACTGCCTTGAGGTCAGAGTAAAATCAGGGTAGTTCCTGGTATGCTTCCAAAGTCTTTTTCAGTGTATAAACGTGAGCGTTCTTCCATTTAAATGATACATTTGAAGAAGGCTTTTATAAATAGCTGGCTATATGTGAGTTGGTCAAAACGTAATTAACCGTTTTTGAAAATCTTGAAGCAGAGATTTAAAAGGGCTGTGGAGAAACTTGCCTGAGACGTGGGCAGTTTGCATAGTTCTCAGGAGCACTTTCGCTTTTCCTGTGTGAATGCTGAGCAGATAATCTCCGGCTTCTGGGACACGTCGCTGTCTAGGCTCTCGCCTGTGGAGCTTGTTTCAGGCTGCAGGTCGGCAGCCTTGTGTTTAGTCAGGCCTTTGATAGTTACAAGACAGTTAAGTTAAAAAAAAAAAAAAGGCT